GTAGCTTCTATGTCTTAAGACATATTGAAAAAAAACATTATTTTTTCCAACAAAAGTTTGCCTCATTTAGTGCTTTATTTGCAATATCAGTCTTAAATTAGGCTGGTTTATGTGCTTCAATTTTCTTCAGTCTGTGAAGTAGCCAAGTAATAGTTTGTTGGCACTGAATTTCCATATAAGTATGGTAAACACTGAAGTGTGCTCAAGCAGCGTTTGCAGAGCATCTGCTGTTTTATTTATTCTTTTCCTATGCCAGTAGTTTACCACATCCACACCATGAATGTATGTTTTTAGTACCATTTAACGGAGACATATCAACCCTTAGGATAAAAGAGCTCTTCCTTCCTATACAATTTGCTCTTGAAACTCTAGGGAGTGGGGAGAGGGAGTTTCTTAGTTCTGTTTGTCCTGCCAGGAAAACAGTATGAGCTGCTGTTAAAGTACCTGTAAGTACCAGTACTCAAGCCTAGTCGAAACACTGCATCATCCCCCACTTAATCCTCAGAAAATATTACAATCTCCTATACATACATGTGTCATGAGAACACACCTCTTCACAAAGCCTGTGAGCCATGGGTTGAGTCCAGCTTACTAGGAACCTGCTCAACTATCTTGTGCCTTAGGCACTCAGGTGGGTACACACACGGTCTACGGTAGCTGAATTGGGTCCTGGACTAGATAGTGCTAGGACTGGCAGAAAGCATTAAGGAAATGAAAAAGAAAATAGCCACAGAACACTCTTTTGACCTCCCTGCCTTCCCTCATACCATGAGTATTCATGCAACTCTGGAAGATGAAGAAATGGGGAATACTGTCCTGCCTACTCCTACCTTTTTCTCTAATCTGGCTCACCAAAAAAAATGTTGAAAAGCTTATTTTCAAGAGTGTTGAATCAAAGGCATCAAGATGTATTAGTTAAAGATGATTTAGTTAAATATCTGACTCTGAAGTATAGTATTTAGAGAGCATTAAACAGTCATGCAGGCAGCCTCAAAAATATAGTGGCACTATTTCACTTAGTTCACTTCAAAAGACACTCACACGAGGATTCAATGCACTTTAACTAATACACTTTAAATTCAGATCTCAAATTAATTTAACTATCAGGTAGACAAGCCCTTAATTGACCATAAAATCCTTTAAACCAATTTCTTTTTTCTGAAATGGTCGTGATATTGCACAAAATGTGGCAATGCACCTCAGAAGCATGGATGGCACAGTCTAAGGAATTTTCCATTGCACAGAACTGAGAGGGTTGGCCACAGAATAGGTAAGATTGACTGGGTCAGTGCAACACATCTTGCTATCCAGGTTGCCACAAATACCTGCTGTGACCTCATCACTGCATGTTCATACACTTATATAAAAGGTACATGTCTGTGTCTTGCTATCCTCAGCTAGTTCCATGCTGTTCCTAAAAACCTTTCTGTTTGGAACCTGCTCAGTTCTGTTTCTCACTTCTGCTGCCCATGGATCTCCACAGATCCTGTGGTCTTTAGCCCTGCAACATTCATAGCTACTTCAGTCTTCCTCTCATGATCTCTGACCCACCAGTAGTGTCCCAGTGTGTGCTGCTGATCAGAAGCATTTCTATGTCCTTAGGCTTTCAAACGCTTACTTGACAGATGAGTATTTAATGCACTATATAAAGTGTTGAAATAAATGGTAAATGACAGATAAAATGTTGAAAATAACATACTACTTCAACAGTTTATGCCTTATCAGATTTTTATTTCAACACTTTACACTCAAAGTGTGAATATGATAGGGTTTATCAAGGCCATTTATCTTTGAGTAATGTTAGCATGGAGGGTTGTGATATAAAACATCCATGTTACTTGCAGTAACAATATGCTGAATATTCAATGAACAATTTGAAAAATTTGTTAAACCCTATTTATTTTCATGATCTTTTTTTAACCAAGAATGCATTGTGAACATTTGTAGAGTCAGACAGCAACCAAAGGTCCTTCCTTCTACAAAAATAAACAGCAATACTAACTGACTGACTTCAGAAGTCTTAGTGACTGATAAATATGAAAGTATTTTATGCAGAAAAGCTGAAAGATAGAAAGGCTGAAAGAGGAACCAGAGTCAGTGATTTAAAGTATGACAGCCAAATTAGATATTTTCTATAAACTATTCAATGCAAAACTTTCTTGTGAATTGTTATGATTAATAGAATTTGTATAGCAATAGTACGAGACAAATATCTTTGCACAATCACCCCAGGCATCAGGAGTGCCAAATATTAAAAAAATATTGGATTTTTAATGTTTTGTTTAACCAGTTTGTCACTTGTTTCTCTTCATTTATAAATATCATGGTCCATAGACAATGCAAAAACTGCATTCGCTACTTCTATACACTATTAGTGTATATATAAAATAATGTACCATTATTACTATTATATGCTATTAGTCCTGGGTACAGAGCCATCTGAATAGTCTGTTGTTATTGTAATTCCCCCAAGTGCATAAGTATAATTTCTACCTGGTAGTGTATTAGAAGATGCAATGATCTCTGACAGGAATCAATACTGTTACAGAGCAAGCCTTTACTTGCTCACAGGGAAGTTTCTTCAGAAGTTTTAAATAAAAATGAATTTTTCCACCCAACACAATTACGCCTGTCCCTCTCTTTCAGTGCATAGTAAGGGAAAACTTTGATCACACCTTCAGAATGGTGCAGGAAGACAGAGGATGTGGTAGAGGTGGCCTAAGGAAATAAAGAACTTAAAAGCATTGTGAGTTTCCTCTGGGACAGTCTTTATTTGTCTAAGAAAACAAATATGTGAAAACTGATTTTTCTAAAGGTTGGTGCTTGATTCAAGGTTTATATTTATTTGACCATAATGCCAGTAATCTGTTTTGCATAGTTGAACCAATCTTTGAGCTTTTTAAATATTTAAACGCTGTGTTTGCACCAAGGCGCTTTCTTTCAGATGTAAAGTCGTTTTTTTTCTGCCATGTTCCTTAGTATGAACAACAGTGGCATATTCCATGGACCGTATTTTCAGGGAGCATTATCAAAGGTATTGTAAATAATTTTGTGCAGCTCAAACATCTTCCTACAAGTTATTAATATAAACTCATAATGCAAATGAGCTTATCTGCATGGGGTCATTCAAGTTCCCACTGTGCTGTGTAGACACCACATTTTACTGAGTTCTGTATAACATCTGTCAGCAGAAACAAAGCTTTACAAGTTGCTGTGAGCAGTGGGAGCTCAGACATATATCCATGGGGAAAAAAAGGAAAGGTGATGGGAATATTGTTATTTTCAGAATATGTCAAGTTTGTAGGCTTTAGATCAAAAACAGATTACAGGATGTGGAGCAAGTAGAATGTTGAGGAAACACTACATGTTGCAAATAGGGCCAGGATAATTGAAACTCTGCTTAGAATGGGGTAAAAAGTCCCTGAAAGCTTGATTTTTAGCTGGCCTCCAAGAAGACTTTCAGTATACAATTGTTTATCAGGTCTATACTACTGAAACAAAACACTTTGATCCTTAATATCCTTTCAAGGGGTTTGGACAGATATCATTTGAAACAAACAAAAAAACCTCCATCAATGTAACATATTTGCAAATTATTTTGGCCAAAAAGAATTTGATTTTTCAAATGTAGTACCTGGGCACAGACTATCATTCAGTTTTATAAGCAGATAGTTCAGTACACTCTAGCAAAAATATATGATATATATTTTTAAGAACTAAGGTATTCTGTAACTTCTAAGTGTGGAACCATACGAGTAATCACTTCATACAATAGCTTGTGATACCCTTCTTGCCCTTAAAAGTTAAAAAGGGCCAACTTTTCCATGCAAGTCTTTAGTTTGTGATTCTGTGTTTCTTCTGCAATCACATTGAGAAGAGCAAGGAACTGCAGCCTCTAGATTACTTTTAATTTCTTATCAGCTATTATAGAAAAAGATATGCAAAAACTCTGACTTTGATCTTGCTAGCGGAAAAAAATTACTATTTCTGTAATATATATATATTGTACTGGACCTGGACAGAGTTAATTTTCTTCATGGCAGCTCATATGAGGCTGAGTTTTAGATTTTTGACCAGAACAATTTAGATAACACATTACTGTTCTGGCTTCTGCTGATCAGTGCTTGCATGGTGTCAAGCCTTCCTCTGCTTCTCACTCTGTTTCCCCAGGTGAATAGACTGGAATGCTGTGCAATAGGTTGGGAGGGGAGACAACTGGGCAGATCACCCAAACTAATCAAAGAGATATTGCATACCATATAACACCATGCTCAGCAATGGAAGGGGAAACAGGAAGGCTCAGAAGGGTAAACCATGTTTTGCTCAGGAACTGGCTGGGCATCAGTGTGCTCATGGGGGGTGGTGAATGGTTGACTTTGCATCATCTGGTTTGTTTTCTTCTCTCTTCTTCCACTAATTATTTTTTTATTATTTTCATTTTAATAATAACAATGATAAAAATAATAATAGATTATGTTGTTGTTATCTTGCTTTTATATTCCATTTCTTCTTTCCCCCACTGGGAATGGGGTGGGGGGGAGGTGTAAAAGCAGCTCTGTGGTGTTTAGCTGCTTGCTGGGTTGAACCAACTACATATATAGAGACATAAATCTATAAAGTTTTCCTTAAGTTTCATGTATTTTGTCATAGAGTCCTGAGAAACAACATAACCTCAAATTTCAGCATCATCTGTCTTCCAATCCCTCTGAATCATCCAAAGAAATATTTTTGATTCTGTGTAGTAGATTAGTGAAATGATCCATGTTAAGAAATGGCTTTCCCCTACCTCTCCCCAAAAAATCTGGCACTGGTACAACAAGGGGGGTCAATAACTGCAAGACCATAACAGGGGTCTGGAGTAAAGTGAAAGTGTAATCAAATTTCCTTGCAAAGAACAAAAATTTTAATTGCCCTCTAAAAGCCCTTTATGATTTTAGTCTTGTGCAGCAGTCCATAAGCACCCGAAACAGATCAACTCTTGTGACAGTTTTAGTCTAGGCCTTCCTTGGTGACTGGTTTGTAACCAAGGAAGTGGCCATATACCCAGTATTCCCTACGATTTTTACGTAAGCAGGGGGTATAAAGAAGAAGGGAGGAGAGGCCTTTGCTCTCTTCCCTTCCGGTGGTTCTGAAGGTGCAGGTTCCCTGCTGTTGGTTCTGCTGTGTGGGGTTGTGAGGCCTAGTGAGGCCTTGTAGACCTTGGGAGGCAGAGGGTGCCGGCGGTCATTCAGCGTGACTTCTGTTGTCCCAAGGAGAGTAGTAAGATATTCTTTTGCTAATTCATTCTTTATTCTGCTAGTCTCTGAGTTTTTTGATTGTGCATATTTGTTTTGTTTTCTCCTTTTTTGTCCCTTTTTGTCCCCCTTTCCCATTTTCCCTTTCCCTCTTCCCCTTCTTGGGAGTTGTACATAATATTCTTACTGTATATAACTGTAATATATGTAAAATACATATGTATTTTGGTATAATTCACTTGGTTTTGATTTCTCTAGATTTCTATAGTTTTTTTCCCCTTTCCTAAAGGGGGAGGGACAGAAAAGGCTTTTGCTGAGCCTTGGAAGTTTGGCGAGAAGCCAGCTCAAAATGTGCTCAACCCTTCATCATGTCAAGCTCTCAACAAATATGTCTCCAAAACTATTTTAACCTGATCAGACATTTCAGTCCAAAACTTGGAGTGGAAGACAGAAAAGCATCTTAGGTCATAGAGGTAAGTGACTAATAGAGCTGGGATAGAAGTTCGATTAGCCTTGTGACATCTTGTCCATTCAACTACCATGAACTACTAAGAGACTTTCCCTTTCTTTAGCTTCCAGAGCACATTTTTACTGACATTCACCATCCCAAAAGACTGAAGGTCAAGTATCCTCTTCAGGTCAAGAAGTGGGGTATGAAAGGCAGAGAGCATTTTGTTCTTGTTAGAAATCTCAAACTTATGTTCCTGTGGTTTAGGGTATGGTTGTTCTTTTTTTCTTTCTTTCTTTCTTTATTTATTTATTTAATGTTGCACTTCTTTTTTATACCAGAAATCTCTGGAAAAAAGCAAGTAAAATCATGCTTTCTTCATTATTTTATGAGGCTGCTTTGCATGAAGGGTTATTTAACCTTTTGAGTTAGTAACGAAGAGCAAGCTTTAAAACATTTATAAATGTATTTTCAGATGTGCCAGTAGCTGTTATATAAAGAGTTTGCAATTAAGAATTCTATGAACAGAATATTTAAGAAAAACTTGCTGTTAAGAGCGTAAAATATGTAGTTTATTCATTGCCTATCTAAAGCAAAAGGTGCCAGACTGCTGTTGGAAACAGTTTTGGAAAACTAAAAAATGCTTCTCTTTAGAAAGCTTCTAGCCTTTCTAAATTTGTGCAGTGACAAAAGAATATGAAAAGTTTGCAATGAATACTTGTCATCAACAAAAAGAATTTAGGAACATTGAATTAAAGCTCAGGCTTCTCTTGCTCTTGAGCTCCATATTTGGCAGACCATTTTTTCTCTCAGAAAAAATCCATAGTGACAGGGGATGAAAGTCACATGTAAAAGATGTGCCAAAAATTTTGCATCCAAAATACTCTCTCTATTGTCTTGTACCTTGACTTTTGTTATTTTTGTTTAGAAATTTCTGTTTAGAAATGATTCATGGGGCAGAGCTAGAAAAATGGAATTTGCACAATCAAACAGAAAAAATGCTGGGGAATCAGAGCAGACATGTTGTGAAGCCATGCATCACACTTAAATGATTCTGAATAAATGATCTGTAAAATCACACCTGTTTATTTGTAGATAATCTACAACAAAAGGAATAAAAAAAAAAATTAAAATTCCTGTGACAGCTTGACCAATTTAAGTTTTTGCATAAAGAAACCAGCATGTTTAAAACAAGCTTACACCTTGAATAATAGGGCCTTAAAGGGTTGTTCTGCAATATTGTAGTTAAGAGAGTATGTCAGCCAGAATTATATGTGTGCAGATTTGAAATAAAATGAATGGGTTGTAAAAGACTTGACTGCCCTTGATCTTTGCACTTGTTCCTCACTGATGTCTTGGAGATCTACACAAGTGTATCAAGACATCTATCGTCTCTATGTAGCTGACTGGCAAAGTTCCCCATGCATAGTGGATTTGAGTTTAACTTGGTTATGATGTAGGGCAAGTATTACACATTTTTCAGAATTTATGTAGCAAGTTTCAAAGTACTATTTTGTAATTTTAAATAATATGTGATTTTGAAAGGGGTAAAGGTGTTCATTTCCAGTCCCGCAAATGTGTTTCTTTCTGATAAGCAAGTGAGAAGACTGAAATATCGTTAGATGCTGGCAGTACAAAATGGCATACCCCCACGCACAGTCTTTGACAGAAAGAATGTGCTTCCTTTTTTAATTTGCATTTCTAAATTTGCAGTGGCAGGTTGTGCTGTTTTTGACTGGGGTAAGGGGTGCACAAGGAGATGGGAGGGGACACAGCCAGGACAACTGACTTCAACTGACCAGAGGGATATTCCATACAATACAGTGTCATACTTAACATATAGTGCTGGGGCAAGAAGTAGAAAGGGGGGGACGCTGGGAGTGGTGACATTTGTAATCTGTCGTGGTTTAACCACAGCCAGCCACCATGCCCCACGCAGCTGCTTGCTCACTCTCCTACCATGGAGATCAGGGAGATAATCAGAAGGGCAAGAGCCAGAAAACTCGTGGTTGAGATAAATACAGTTAATAGGAAAAGGAAAACCCACACGCACAAGGAAAAAAGAACAAAGAATTAATTCACAGCTTCCCATGGGCAGGCAGATGTTCAGCCATCTCCAAAAGAGCAGGGCCCCATCACATGTGACAGTTACTTAAGAAGACAAACTGCATCACTCAAAACATACCACTCTTCCTCCTTCTTCCCCTCCCACTGTATATACTAAGTATGATGTGATATGGTCTGGAATATCCCTTGGTCAATTTGGGTCATCTGTCCTGGCTGTGTCTTCTCCCAACCTCCTATGCATCCCCAAGATCCTTGCCAGCAGAGCAGTATGAGAAGCAGAAAAGGCACAGTCTCTGTGTAAGCACTGTTCAACAATAATAAAAAGATCTCCATATTAGCATCCCTCTGTTCAGCACAAATCCAAAACATAGCCCCATACTAGCCACTGTGAAGAAAATTAACTCTACCCCAGCCAAAATCAGCACGTCTTCCCAAGTCAACATTGTGCATGAAGGAGTCTGGGTTTTGTGGGGATGGCTGAACACCTGCCTGACATTGGGAAGCAGTGAATTAATTCCTTGTTTTGCTTTTCTTGCATGCACAGCTTTTGCTTTACCTACCAAACTGTCTTCATCTCAGCCCACGAGTTTTCTGCTTTACTCTTCCAGTTCTCTCCCTGATCCCCCTGCTGGGGGAGTGAGCGAGCGGCTGTGTGGGGCTGAGCTGCCGACTGGGGTTAAAGCACAAGACAAGTATGTGTTCTGAATTTAATATTTCTCCCCTAGTTGTTATGCAGCATGGTTTACATTATTGAACTCTAGGCAGCTGAAGCAATACTTAAACTGATAATATATATCCCTTCACACAGGGCAACCGGATTCTGTGGATCCTTTCTGAACAGTGATGGGGCAAATTAAGGAAAAAGAAAAGCATTAAGCAATGTTTGAAAAAGGACTTTGTCAGCTTCTGACTATTTAAAACTTTTCTCATAGGATTGATTTGAAATGTCTTGGGTAGTTCTTATGCTCACATTAAGCAGAAAAGACTCAGTTACATGGTAAGTAGGACCAAAAATAGCAAAGAAATTATCAGATAAATGCTCAGGTACCAGTTTTCTCATAGCAAAAGGGCAAAATAGTACAAGGACCAAAGACAATTCTGTATGAGAAGGGAGAGAAATGAAGCCATTCATTTCAGAGGGTAAATACTGAAACTTAGGAAGTTGAGAAGAAAAGCATTTAACAGATGCTGATATACCAGAGGGACTAACACTGTTTCAGGATGTCTATTAAATTACCTGCTGTGACATACACTAATACAAAGAATGGGAAGAGGAGCATTGCTGCGAGATACCTTGCCCCAAAGTTCACCATGACCTTGAGGCCCAGCTACGTGGGTCTCCTCTGCAACATCCATAGAATACAGGTGTTCTAGAAAGAAATTAGTACAGGATCTTTGTTTTTTGTTGTTTTCCTACTTGTATATTTGAGTCTTTTCCAGAAAAGAGAACACAGCAAAAAATACAAGGCTAAAAAGGCCCAAATTTTATCTAGACAGACAATGCCACATTAATAGAAGTTGGTTGGTGAAAATGAGAAGGCATTTTCTTTTTATTTCATATCTACAGCAGATTGATCAGCTTCCAAGCCCATTCCCAAGGAGTGAAGTGGCATTTGTTTGTATTGTGAAACCAGCAAACATCACAACTAGGGTAAAGAATCCTTCAAGTGGTGCATAATCTGGTACACAACAAGTGTCATTCAAACTCCCTTATGTGAGCAAGATCCACTGGGAGAGGTTCTGTGTGTCTAGTACGGTATGTCTGAAGAAGAAAAACTATCCCAAAGGATACTATTCCACTCATCCGTGTCAAGAGAAGTTAAATCATTTTTTCAGAGGATGAGGCTATCCATTGGTTATCCATTCCTTATATTTTCATCATAGAATATATTTTCAAATAAGAGAGGTTATGCAGGTGATTCCTACACAGGCATATTCCCTTCTTAATCTCTGAATTAATATCAGCTAACAAACAATTGAGCAGTAGGCACTTGGGTACATTTCCATGATTTATTGTAGCTTTTTTTGGTGTATAGTTATGACTTCTACAGGGTTACTACCATTGTCTTTTAAATATATCCAATTATTTTCCTTGGCTTCATATAGAATTCTCCTTTTACCTTCTTCATATAAAATATTTTCACTTAATATTCACATTAAGATTCACTTAATACTAATCTTTTAATTTTTCACTTAAAAAGCGTTCAAGGTCAGGCTGGATAGTGCTCAAAGTAACTGGTTTAGAGGAAGGTGTTCCTGTTCATGATAGGGGCATTGGAATGAAATGATCTTCAAGGTCTCTTCCAACCCAAACCATTCTATGATTCTGTGAATATGCAGCATCTTTCAAATTGTTCTAATGCCAAATGCCTCAGTTGTTTCTGTCATGTAAAGTAGCTGCTTCTGGCCCATAGTGTAATGATGCCTGCTGGTGCACAGATTTGGTATGTTTGGTCTTTGAGAAGTAAAGTTTTTATCAGTTTATAGTTTTATCAGTTCCTGTGAAGTACATCTTTTATTTTTATTCTGAAGAAAACCTCAGGAGTAGTCAAGTTTCCTCTGTGCACACAGGAGTCTTGCATATTGTTTGACTTCACAGATGCCACATTTCACTTACCCTTCCTATTTCTTCTTTTCATATTGCAGCCACTTCATCTCCTTGGCATTTTTTATGAGTCAGAGTTGACCAAACCAATCTTTCAAGGTTAATTATTAATTTGATTCATCAATAATTCAAGCATTTTTTTTCAGCTGTGTGATGTCATCTGTGTTAGTTAAGGACCTTAACTTTAGATCATCTCAAGTCATGCCCTCTACCTCATTTATCATTCTTACTGTCTAGTTTAAAAATATGATGAAAAGCTGTAGTGATTCTATGCTTCCTTATATTATAACAAGCATTGGAGTTGTTTAATTTTTCATTATTTTTTTTTTACAATGTTGCAAGAGTCTTCAAACACAGCTTTCATAATTGCAGTTATAAGTTCTGAATTCCATGTGACTTTGCAGCTTTCCACGATGTTTCCAATCAAACTGAAACAAAAGTCCATGAAAAGGACAAACATCATTATTGGCCTTCTCATTTTCTTCAATAGCCAGCAGAGCATGCATTCCCAGGCAGTGCAGCTTAGGTGTGGTTTGAGGTTGCCCTAAATGTCTTCCCCTTTTACTCTTTAAAATGGCTTCTCTCTGCAAATTATTGCCATGATTTTCCTGAGTTACATTTCAGCAGAATCTTTTTACCAAGTCTGTTCAATTATTGATGGTAGTCAGTTCTTCTATATTTCTTCTTCCCCTTATACATAATTCCATCAAAATTGACTGGAAAGTCAAAATGCTCCCAACATTTTCTTTAGCATCATATTTTTCTTTAGCCACCGTGATTAGTCTCAGCTTAACCATTTTGTACATTCGTTCTATTTTTATATTCACAGGGTCACATAAATGGCTCAGGTTGGAAGGGACCACAGTGAGTCATCTGGTCCAACCTCCCTGCTCAAGCAGGGTCATCCTAGAGTACATGGCTCAGGATTGTGTTCAGATGGTTGTTGAATACCTCCAGTGAGGGAGACTCCACAATCTCTTTGGACAAGCTGTTCCAATGCCTGGTCACCTTTCTGCCTATTGCCTCTTGCCCTACTGCTTAGCATTACAGAGAAGAGCCTGGTCCATCCTCTTGACACCCTACCTTCAAATACTAATAGACATTGATAAGATTCCCTATCAGTTGTCTCTTCTCAAGGTTGAACAGGCCCAAATCTCTTAGCCTTTCCTTGTAAGAGAGATGCTCCAGTCCCTTAATCATCTTTATCTCTGTGATCTTTAAATATCAACAAACTCTCTTGGACCCTTCTGAAAGTACAGGCAATTTACAGAAGTATTTGATTGTGTCAATATCCCAGCAGGGGTACAAAGGATGCCTCATATTCCTATCTTCTGGTTACATCTTTGGCTGCTTGTACTTGCTCGATGTGTTCCCTCTTAACCCTCCTTTTGCTAATAGGATGGTCACTATAGTTCTCCCTTTCCCACAGCTCATCTCTGTTGAGCCTGGCCTTGTTCCCATCCTTCTTCAAGTCTAATTTAAAGCTCTAGATTACTGATCTCTTTAAGTGCTGTTTTGTTTCCAAAACTTTTATCAGTCTCATTTTAGAAATGTCTTCATTCCTTATGTCATCATACTTTCAGCTTTCCCTAGAACTATGATTTCTTTTTGTATCTCAATTTTTATAAAACTTATCCGACTGTTTCTGTCTTTATATCTTCCAATAATTTTCTTTCCTGAACTTAGTTTTGGTTTCCTGAATATTCCCTGTCCAGTCTGTAATAAGATTTCTTCATCAACCTGAATTAGTGGACTGGAAAAATGTCTAAATGGCACCTTGAATATCTTCCTCATAGAACTTTCCTTTTATTAAAATTGAATTTGATTTCAACTACAAACAATTTTGTAATCTCAGAGTTGTTTTTTTCACTTAACCTTCTTTCCCACAGGGCTTTCATGAACAGTGGCATTTTCTACTCTCCTACGTTTAACAGCCAATGCCTTTATTAATAATAAAGTACTCTCTTTTCCTTTTAGTGTTGGTAAGTGGCAAATTCCATAAAAGCTCCTGATGTCTTTAGGAGAAATCCACCTGCAGCCTGTGATCAAACTGTGCATCTCAAGGGAACCCTGAACTTTGCCCTGGACAGTATGAGAGAAAGAAACTGCTGAGGGGGGATGTTACCCAGATTTAAACTGGGTTTAGTATTTTTGTCAAGAAACTGAATAACAACATCTGTTTTAAAAAAAGTAATGTCTGCTTTCAAGAATCATCAACTACCTGCACTGACATATCCTTCTCCTAATAATCCATAAGGGACTATTGAAATAATAACAAGTTACAAATTT